GGCAGGGCTGGCTGGCATGTGGTGCTGGGGGATTGAACCGCAGTCCCTGTGCTTTGCTAAGCTTGTTCTAAGTAGGTGCTTTAGACCACTGTGCCATCTCACCAGCCCTTAATTTATTCCTGTGAGTGCTGTACAGTAATTATTTGATGAATGTTCAGTGAGTAGGTGAAAGCCTTAGGGTTGTGCTGTATAAGGTTGATAAAGTTCTATATTTTGTGGCATTTGGATATTAAATACTGGCATGAAATGGACAGTTATGAGTCATATTTACATAATTTGTCTTCCCCATGTGTTTTAGGGGGGCCAAACATGTGGGCTATTACCTCTGAAGAACGTAGTAAGCACGACAAACAATTTGATCACCTCAAGCCTTCAGGAGGTTACATAACAGGTCTGTGCATATAATTTGTTATATCTTACTCTAAATCATCTTTCTTTTCATAAATCTTAAAATTAACTTTGGTTTAACTATCAAATTTATATTAAGTGATAGAATTTGTATCAAATTGAATTAAAGTAAAAACTGTACTATCTTATTTTTCCTCAGACTATCGTAAGTTTGTTGTTTTGGGTTTGGCATATATGGAAGATCTTTGCTTCAATATTAAATGATAGTTAAGAATTTGATTGTGTTGTTCATGTCCTATCTTCTATCTAGAAGTTTTCCTTTGATATTTTTGTGTCAGATTCATTTCCTGGGAAATAGTTTAGATCCCCCACCCCCCATCTGTTTCATGGCCTAGCTGTCTGTCTTAGGGTTGGGCCAGGGATTGATTGTCGATGCTATCCTGTTTTGCACAAAGACTACCAGATCCAGAAAGGAACTAATTTAAGTATGCCTTTCAAAGTTTTTTGTAGAAAGGAAATGTTATCTCTGTGCTAAAGACTCTTAGTGCTTTGTATGTAATAATCATCCTGATAATAACTATACTACTCAAAAAAGTAAAAGCAGAAATTCCTTTTGACGCCTCTCCTAGGTATTTTCCTAGAAGAATTAAAAATCATCAATTTATAGGGATACATGTACACCTATGTTTAGAATGGCACCATTTATAAAGCTAGATCTTGGAAATAATATGTGTGTCAGTCAGCAGGTGAATAGATAAGGAAAATGTGGAATACTGTGCTGCCCTTAAGTAGATAAACTTGCAGCATTCCTAGATAAATGGATGCAACTTGAGAACCTAGTCAAGTGAAATAAGTCAAACATACAAGTTCAAATATTTCAGGGTTTCTCTTACAAGAAAATCTTTAGAGAGATAGAGAATGAGAACAAAATAGAAGAGATAAAAAGGAAGTAAAGAGTTCAAATACTTGGCCCAAGTTACATATTCTGTTGTTTTAAAATAATTAAATATATATGCTAATTTGATTCATTTTAACAATAATTTATCTTAGTTTGTTGAAAAGAAAGATTGAATTATTGGGCTGGGGAGATAGCTCAGTGGAATAAGTGCTTGCCTAGCAAATGCAAGGTCCTGAGTTCGATCCTTGGTACCACCAAAAAAAAAAAAAAGAAAAACTGTATTATGTATTTTTTTTTTTTTTTTGTGAGAATCATTTTGGGTTTTGTCTTGTACTGAGTAACTATTGTGAAGATAACAATACACAGTGTAAGGACCAGCCAGATAGCTCAGCGGACTAAAGCTCTTCTTCTGGCAGAGGCACAGCGGCCAGGGTTCAATCCCCCTTGTGCCGTGCTGGCCCTGCCCCTGGGCATGCTGAGACAGTGATTGAGCCTGGGCGTGGTGGTGCGTGCCTGTAATCCCAGCACTTGTGAGGCTGAAACAGGAGGATCACTACGAGTCTGATCTATGTAGTAAGACTCTGTACACCCTATAGACCCCGTCCTAAATTCATTAAAAAAACAAAACCCACAGTGTAATAACTGTTGTTATTCTTTTGTTTTATTTTTTCATAAAATAAAAAGATACAGATTTTCAGTTATAAATGAGCTCGGGGGAGCTAATGTACAGTAGAATGACTGTAGTTCATGTAGTGACTGTATTATAAGTTTGAAATATGCTAGTAGGGTAAATCTTAAATGTTCTCGTCACACACAAAAAAGATTAACTATGTGAGATGAAAAAACCTACACCACTTATTAAATTTATACTGCATGCCTGGTGCTATTCTAAAAGCATTATCTCATTTTACCTTTATAAAAGCCCTGAGAGGCTGATAGTCTTGGCTAGATTTCCAGATAGTAAAACTGAGACTTTAGGGTGATTATGGAACTTGCCTAAGATTATAAAGATGATTAGTATTGATTTGGGTTTTGAAATCTTTAAGTCTGACTTTGGAATCTATTCAGTATGATATAATTTGATGGACCTGTTATCAAGATTTTGTTCATGGACAGAAGACTTGAACAGGCAGGAGACTTAAGTTTCCTGAGTGAGAGAACAAAGACTTTATTAAACAACTAGGGCACATTTCTGTCACCTTACTTTGTTCCCTGGCTTATGCAGAGTGCTCAGAAAGATGCTACACATGATATAGCTGTGTTATAAGAGAGGAACTGGGCTTGGGAAATCTTCCATTTTTTAGTAAGAAGTAAAGCAAATTTGTTCTTTGTCCCAGTAGGAAATATTATCTACCCCATTGTTCACTTACAAACCTGATTCTGAGAAATTACCAGGCAGAGAGAAATTAGGGTTCTGCATTCTTGGCCTACACAGTAGGACACATATGAATGTGAGGAAAACCCATGGAAGATTGTCTGTTCTAAGTCTTGGTACTGCTTATACAGACTTCTTTTAGGCAGTTACATGTATGTTTTGTGTGGGTGGTGGTGGGGCCTAAATCCAAGGGCTCGCAAATGCTAGGCAAGTACTATACTGCTGAACTACATTCCCAGTCCTATGTGTATTATTACATAGGAATATTAGCAAGTGATTGTGGAAAAATATTGTGAAATAATATAATCTTTTGCCACTTGGTTAAAACATGATTCAGTTGTAAGTCGTATTCTAAAACAGCTAAGCCTTATAAGAGGAATATAGGGGGGCCGGGGAGATGGCTCAGTGGAATAAGCGCTTCCCTGGCAAGCGCAAGGGCCTGAGTTCAATCCCCGGTTCCACCAAAATAAATAAATAAATAAAAATAAAATAAGGGATATAAATAATTTCATGTGTATTTCTACTTCATTTATTCTTTACTGATTATAATTATAATAAAACAACATATGCCCATTATTACAATTATTATTCAAGGTATTGGAGTACTTTCATTTACTAATGTACTGCTTGGTTTTTGTTTTTATTACTTTCAGGTGATCAAGCACGTACTTTTTTCTTACAATCAGGTCTGCCAGCTCCTGTTTTAGCTGAAATATGGTAAAATATTTTCTTCATAAATGTACTTAAATTTCTGATGGACTGTTTTTTAAAATAATAGTGTCAAGAAAAATTATTTTTATTTGTACTCTTATTAATATTATTTCTTCAGCTTTTAGGAAAATACATTTCATCTAGCAAATGATTGAAAATAACTGGAGTTCTGGAGGACAAATTTCTATTTTCATTAGAATTTCTAAGGAAAATATATATATTATTGAGAAATATTTCTTTATAATTTGGCAGCATCTCAATCTTTTTTTTTTTTTTGTAATGTTAGAGTGGTTTCATTTTGTCATTTATAAATGCCACACTAGCACTCCATTCTCCTGCTTCTACAGCTATTCACTACAATATTTGGGGTTGTGTTTTCTTAATGTATTTTCAATAAATAGCTGCCTCTACCCCATCTTTCTTTCCTTATGGAATAATATTCCTATGTCTGAAAGAATTCTAAGCATATAGCATGCATTCAGTGAGTACTTGAATAAATCAATAACTTAAATTTAGAATTGTAATATTCTAGAATAATTTCTCCCTCCTTGATAAATTCATTACAGATATTTCTATAGACAGTGTTTCATTTTGCCTTGGCCAAAACTTCCTAATGTACTGCTTTTATCTTTTTGTTATTCATACTTATGAACATCTGCATGCTTATGTTATTCTTTTTGTTTCCTCAACCTCAGCAATAATGTTGGTTTCTCCATCTCACCGCCTCATGCTCTTTTTAGGGCCTTGTCAGACCTGAATAAGGATGGGAAGATGGATCAGCAAGAGTTCTCCATAGCTATGAAACTCATCAAACTAAAGCTTCAAGGCCAACAGTTGCCTGTGGTTCTCCCTCCCATTATGAAACAACCCCCTATGTTCTCTCCATTAATTTCTGCTCGTTTTGGTGTGTACTTACTAATTTATTTTGTTTTTGTTTTTGTTTTTGTTTTGTTTTGGGTTTTTTGGAACTGGGGATTGAACTCAGGCCCTTGCACTTGCCAGGCAAGCGCCTGTTCCACTGAGCTATCTCCCCAGCCCCCTGTACTTATTAATTTAATAAGATATACTTCATATTTCATCTTGATTCTTATAATACCTGGGGACCAGAAAAGCCTTTGTTAACATAAAACAATGGTCCCCAAGCTCAGATGAGAATTATTAAGTTCCACATAATTTTTTAAATTAAATTTTATTGTTTGAATGGTAGTACAGGACACCATGAAGTTATTATATCTTAAGGTTTTTCCTAAGAAAGATAATCCCTATAGTCTTATTTCCTTCAAATCACACATGAATTAAAGGATAATATAAATAATATAAAAGATGTGACATGGGAACATATGACTTAGGTGCTAAGATATATATGGAAGAATTATTAAGTTCTCTGTTGTAGCTAGGGTATCCATGTGCTCCAGCTAAAGTTTTTCTGGACTAGTTCTAGTTTATATCTTTTGTCCTGGCATCTGGTCCAGCCAGTATCACCTTTCAAAACTCCTAGGTTGGTGATAAATTAGACTCCACCCACATGATCCTAAATATTTTTATTAATTAGTTTCCTCTGCGATCTCTTGGAAGTGGAAAGTAGGAGAGTGGTTATCAGAAACTGGAGAGGAGGGAAATAGGGCAGTGGGCAGTGTGTACAAAAGTACAGAGGAAAAGTAATTAACAGTGTTGTGTTACATATTTGAAAATAACTAGAAAAGAGGACTCTGAATGTTTTTAGGACAAAGAAATGAGAAATGCTTGAGGATATGCCAGATACTTCATGCTTATGTACAATTGTGTGACACTTAACCAATTAAAACAAAAAAATGAACAACTTTAAACATAATTGAAATTGATTAGGAGTTAATTCAAAGTTATATGTAAATAGAAATTTCTTTAGCTTAAAAGCTAAATTAACCAGCTAAATTTATAGCCAAAAGTCATAGACTTACCAGAGTCAAACTTTGGGTATGTTTTCTAAATAATTTCAGCTAGTCAGTTATTAATTGTATGTAAGAAGCACACATTTTGAATAGAACATTTAACTAGACATCTCTATTTGTGAGGAGGATCTTCCTTCACTGTGGATGTTAGATCTTAAGATTTTAGATGTAAGACCTTAATTCTTTCACTATTGCACTGAGTTCTACAAATAGGTCCTAGTATGTGAGCATATTTATATGCTATACTTTATGTTGTGCATTTAGTGTACAAACATCACTTTGCTCTTTTTAAAGAATCACCCTTGAATTCTTAAGTACTTTACTTACAAGAAGAATAAAATACGTGCCATGCTTTCCTGCAAATAATGCACATGCATAAATGCATTCCTGAGGTGTCTACTAGTTAGAACTTTTTTTTTGTTTATTTGGGGAGTATGTAGTAATTTAGCACCACTGTATTTGTCTTCCTTACACACAAAAACCATGTGATCAGGTAAAACATTCTTTGAGGATATAAATGTTTAATTGGAAATGCCTGTTTAGGTTTAGTCACAGTGAAAGAAGAGAGAAAAGAATCTTTAACTGATTACTAGACACTTCCTTAGTTCACACAAGTCAGAATATTAATGATAAATGCAGTAATTAACCTCCCTTATCTCTTCTATTAAGCTGTTTTAGTGAGCTTTAAAGAACAAGTTGCTTGTGGTGTTTCTATAAACATAGGGACTGCTCATTATACTTTTATAAACTTGCTTTTTGGCATATGTCTTATAGTTGATTTACTAGCATTAGATAATATGTTTTCTTTTATCTTTAGGGATGGGAAGCATGCCCAATCTGTCCATTCCTCAGTCATTGCCTCCAGTTGCCCCTATAAACGCACCCTTGTCCTCTGCAACTTCAGGGACCAGTCTTCCTCCCTTAATAATGCAAGCTCCCCTAGTGCCTTCTGTTAGTACATCGTCATTACCAAATGGAACCGCCAGTCTCATCCAGCCTTTGTCCATTCCTTACTCTTCTTCAAGTAAGTATCTAATAGGTCAGTATTCGTGGGAAGAAAAAAACTGTTATATTTTGTTCAAAGAGATACAGATTTCCTTCTTTGTGAGACTTTGTTTTTTTTCTTTTTTGTAGCATTGCCTCATACATCATCTTACAGTCTGATGATGGGAGGATTTGGTGGTGCTAGTATACAGAAGGCCCAGTCTTTGATTGATTTAGGATCTAGTAGGTATGAATACTTGACATTTACTTTTTATGCTTTCAACTAGGAGTCATTATTTAATAAGCTCTGAGATTTATCTACTCTTTACTTTCTAATGGCCAAATATAAATACTTAAGGTAAGCTGGGTGTGGTGGTGCATGCCTATAAATTCCAGCACTTGGGAAGCTGAGGCAGGAGGATCACTATGAGTTTGAGGCCAGCTTGGGCTACATAGTGAGTTAAAGGCTAGCATGGCCTACATAGCAAGACCCTGTCTCAAAAACTTCCAAAAAACCATACTTAAGGTAAATTATCTACTCATATCTTACATTAATTATTAAATATCTGTGATAGTTTTTTTTTTTTTTTTTGGAACCAAGGATTGAACTCAGGCCCTTGCACTTGCCAGGCAAGCACTTTTTCTACTGAGCCATCTCCTCGGCCCTCTAATAGTTTATTTTTTAAAAAACATTATATAAACTTAAAAAAATTTTTTAGCCAGACATGATGGCATACACCTGTAATTCCAGCTTTCAAGAGGCTGAGGCAGGAGGATCACTACAAGTTCAAGACCAGCCCGGTCTACAAAGTGAGGTCAAGGCTGGCCCGAGCTGCATATAGTAAGACGCTGTCTCAAAAAAACAAATAAAAAATTTGCTTAGTTAACTTTTAGTCCCAAATAATGTACTTCTACTTTTTAAAAGTATATATTTCTAAGAGCTGGTGAGAATGTTCAGCAGACTAAGCACCTGCTTAGGCAAGCTCAGGGACTGGGGTTCAATCCCCAGTAGCACATGCTGCACCAGCCCCGCCCCTGCGACACTGAGCAAACCACCGAGTCCGGGCATGATGGTGCAGCCTATAATCCCAGTGCTGAAGACGCTGAAAACAGGAGGATCACTATGAGTCCCACCTACATAGTGAGACCCTGTACCAAATAAAATTTTTTTAAAGTATGTATTTCTCAAAATGTTTCATAATCATTGTACCGTGCTAATTTCTTTCCTGTATAAATTCTTCTGATTGGATACCTTAAATTTTAGAAAACCCTATAGCATCTTTTATCATCTCTCATATAAATAACTGTTATGTCTTCAAAGGAGTGTACAAAATTGCTTTTGACTCAGAGGTACAGCATTCATGTCATAGTTTAAACACTACTGATTTATTTATTTATTTTTAATATCACTGACCCATAGTTTATCTAAATATCACTGACCCATGGATTATCTATCTAAAAGACAGTATGATCGCCTAAGGTGGTTGGGATATTTGTAAAGGCCCTAGCACTATATGAAGCCTAGGTTCTTGATACATGGCAATCCCATGGACATCTATGTTTCATATGGT